GATAATAAATCTTTAAAAATGGATATTTATTTTAAAAAGTTGCCAACATATATGTATGCATATAAAAAAAACCAAAAATAAAATTATTTTTTTAAAATATAAAATATTAGCAATTAATTATTAATCAATCTTAAGGTCTCTTATATATATTTATTTTTCTTTTTGGGCATTTATTTTGTTACTAATAAAGCATGTAAGATCAAACTCCTTATTTAGCCCATTAGGAGCAAGGCAACCCATCTCATAAATCCATTTCGATTCCTTTTTGCTGATTTCCCTTACTCGGTTATCACCCCCTCCAATGGTGTACATGTTTTCGATACCCCAGAACTCTAATTTACTAGCGTCTTTATTGTGATATCTCCTGAAATGCTGTGATAAATGATGATACTTGTATCCCCTATTGATATTATAGACATGTTCCTTTATGCGTTCTCTGAGCATCCTTTTAGTGCGACCAATGTATATTAAATTACACGGGCATTTCAAAGCATAGATAACCCCTTTAGTGTCACAGGATATAAATTGTCGAATTTTGTATTCCTTTCCACTATTGGGGTTACTAAATGTAAATCTTCTTCTAGGATTATGTGTCAATCTACTACAACTATAGCATCTGTCACAAGCGTAAAATCCTTTTCCCTAAAAAAAAAACTTAAATTCTGATTTTTAATCGGCGGTTCTAATATATTTTTCACAACATTGTCTCTAATAGTAGGAGCTTTTTTGTATATAAAGCGAGGTATTTCCAGAATGTTATTTTTCAAATGTTTATCTAATTTCAAAATTTTCCAATGTTTTTTTATTATATTTTGTACTGATTTATACTATGTGTTATAGTGTAGTACTACTGACAGTTCCTCCTTTTTGGTATTCTCTTTCTGCTTGTCTACTATCAAGGTATTGCGATCCATAGACCCTACTTTCTCCCTTTCCATTTCTATTTGCTCTTTTTTATAGCCTTTATTTATAAATCTTTCTGATAGCATACTGCTTTGTTCTGTATAGTCCTTCATTTTAGTACAGTTCCTTTTCAATCTTATGAATTGGCCTCTAGGTATATATGTTATCCACGCTTTGTGATGGCAGCTATCTGTGGGGATATATGCGTTTCTATCTACTGATTTAAAATAATTTTTTGTGCATAGTTGTGTTCCCTCTTTGAAAATTTGAATATCCAAAAAATTCATAAATGTATCATGTATATCATAACTTAAGCTTATATTTGCTTCATTACTATTTAGACCATTATAAAATTCAATAAGATCTTTTTTATCACCATTCCATACAATCAGTAAATCATCGATATACCTTTTGTACATTAGTATTTCTGTTTTAATATTCTGAAATACAAACTCATCTTCCCATTTCGCCATATATAAGTTGGCAATGCTAGGGGCGAATTTAGCGCCCATAGCAACTCCTTTTCTTTGGGAATAATATGTATTACCATACCAAAAGTAGTTATGGGTTAAACAGAATTTTAAGCATTTTATAATGAATTGTTTATGTCTATTAGGGATATTTCCATATTTATTAAGCGCCCATTTGGCTGCTTCTATAGCTCCCTGATAGTCTATATTAGTATATAATGCTGCTACATCCGCTGAACTTAAAAGGGTATCATTATCTATATGGATATCATTCATTACCTGTATTACATGCTTTGTATCTCTTAAGAAAGCTTTAGTGTTGGTTACTAATGGCTGTAGAAAATGGTCTACATATTCACCCAGTCTAGCTGTAAGTGAATCAATCCCATTAATTATGGGTCTACCTGGCGGATTAGTACTATTTTTGTGTATTTTTGGAACTGAATATATTATTGGTAGTCTACACACTGATGGTATTAAATACTCAGATTCTTTCTCACTTATCACTCCTTTCTTCTTCCCGTATGATATTAGCTTAATCAATTCTTTCTTGCATTCCTTAATTGGGTTATTTGTTAGTACTTCATATGTTTCTTTATCATTGAGCATTTCAGTCATAATTGATTCATAATATGTTTTTGATTGTATCACTATTCCTCCTCCCTTATCTGCCGGACGTATTACAATGTCATTCCTCTTTTTTAGAGTATCTAGGCCTTTTTTCAGCATGATTGTCATTTTTGGTTTTTTGATCTGTAAAGATTCCAGATCTTGCAACACCATTTGTTTAAAAGTTTCTATATATTTATTATCCGTAATCTGGGGATTAAAAACAGATTTATTCTTCAGTTGACTGGATATAGTATGTTCCGTTAATCCAGTATTCTGTATTATTGGATTGCTTGCATAATACTTTTTTAGGTTGAGCTTCCTGATCAATTTATGTACACTTACATACGTATCAAATTTATTTAATCCTTTTTGTGGAGCATATTTAAGACCCTTGCTTAACGTGTAAGTTTCCTTCTGTGAGGGGTAATCCACTTAGGTTAAATATACCCTCACCCTTTAATTCCTTCTTCTTTTTTTGTTGTGCCCTTCTTCCTCCTCTCTTCCCTCTCTTTCTTGTGTATATTGTGTTTCTTCTTCCCTCCCCCTTGTGGATTCATGTCCCATCCTAAAAAAGGATTAGGGATGGGTGAGTTGGGTTCTTCTCTTTCCAGGGGTGAGAATCTATTATTTGTAGGTACCTGATAAGGTTTATTTCCCATTGGATACTGTACTTGATATTGTGGCCTTTGTGGTCTAGGATAATATGGGCCTCTATTTTGACCTGGTCTCCCATAATAATCTTGTGTTTGATAGCTGTGTGGGCCTCTCTGATTATAGCCTTTATATCCATTATAGTATGGTTTCCCTCCTTGATAGGGGTGATTAAATGGGGGTCTGTATGACCCAGGTGTGTAATATTGCGGTCTCCAAATATTAGGATTCCCTCCTTTGTGTTGGGGATATGATCTATTATCTTTTGTTGGTGTCTTAAACCCTAATGTTTTTTTAGGGGGTGGTGCTTTCTCATTAATTTTAACAGGTGTTGATTCTGTGGACCTAATCTCGTTAAGATTGGGATTAGTTTGCCATTTAAAAACTGATTTTTGTTGATAATCCTGGCTCACTCTTTGAAATTTCTTCTTTTTCTTATTCTTAATTTCTTTTTTTCTTTTTTCTGGGCATTTTTATTTAATTGGGCTAAGAGTTTTGTAAATTCTGGGTGATCTTTACTATTCTCCACCTTATTTTGGTACTCTTTTATCACTTTTTCAATTTTCCTCATTTTTCTTTGTTTTCTTTTTAATAGGAACTGGAGAACCTCCATTCCTTTTTCATTGAAAAAATTATACCATTCTTCCTTGTCTTCTTCCTCCAAGAGTCCATCATTGATGGGCAATTCCCATCTAAGCTTCCTCGGGATCATCCTTTCTTTTATATATTTTTCCATAGTGACTATATCCCACCAAATACCAATTTTTTTATCCATAATATTACCTAATTTTTTAAATAGATTATTAATGCTTAAATCATCCTGGTTTTCTCCTACAAATATATTATTCATATCAAGGTCTCTACTTTCCAAAAATGTGAAAACCTCCATAGTGTCTTCAAACAAGTGATAAATGAGTGTGAGATCTACAATTTAAAAGTGAATACTTGTGAGCTACTATGACTGAGGTATTCAATATATTATTAGTGATAATAAACTACCTAAATATTATACTGGGTGTGCTGACACTTTCACAAACTCACTTGGTTGTGTGTCTAATAATCAATTATATATACTTATAATGCCGCGCTCCTACTATAATACTACTTTGCATATCTGTACCAGATAAGTGCCATAAACTGCTATATCACCGCTTCTGGCAGCAATAAACCACTCTTACATAAAAGGATAAGGCACCATGGTCTTTCTTTTCTCCATTTGATTTATATATCCAATACTGAGGAAAGGTGGATGTGAGGAGGAGGTGTCCCCAGGAGGGGAAATAGGATATTTTCACATATGCTCCAAAAGGTCTATCCATGAGTGGCTATGTCTATGGAGTAAGAGGAGATAAAAAGAGGATCTGAGCAGGCCTTCACTTCCATTTGGAACACCATATATAGGAGCATCATCCCACCAGTCCTGGAAGGACAAAAAGTTTATTTGCCTAAATTTATTTGGGCAAATATTAAGGTGAGCGCATATTGAGATCACACGGCACCTGGCAAGAGGGATTAAGGAGTTCACCTGCACATTGCACATTGCACTAATTTATATAAAACAGACTTTTTAATTTATTCATGCACTTTATGAATTATATTTGCACAATTCATTGTATTGATATTATTGATTAAGTACACATGGTATAATTTAGCACAATATTGGTTTGATTTATACATATTGATCTATATGTCACATTAATTATTTATTATCACTATTTAGTTTATTTATTTACTTCTCTGTGATCTGCTCCACTCTCTATCACAGGCAGGTTAATTTCACTCTGGCTTATCCCGCTGTTCTTCATATCCAGCTGTTCTTCATATCCAGCCATCGGATGGAGAAAGGCTATCCTTTACTTTGCCATTGGAAGCGGAGCAATACCTCAAAAATATCCCCAAAGCAGCAATTGATCAATGTCCTTTTTCTGCACCGTCTTCCTCCTCTTCCCCAAGGGGAAATTCCCTGCCCTTCCAGAATCAACTGAGTCCTCAAAAGCTACCGCATAAACAGGTGTGCTTTGGTCGGGCCGAAGACTGCTACGTTACCCACTCACCTGTTTTATCGGAGGATATGTAATGGTTTTCCTTGTTTTTCTATGCTTTCTCAGGGACTGATGTAATTTGTCTTAAAACAGCTAATATTTGGTATTTGTCTGTCTTGTTCATGCCCCCCCTGTGGCGATCCGTCTTGCACACCTGTCCCCTCAGATGGGCGAAGAGGGTCTTAAGGTGTTTTTGTTCCCCCTTTTGCAATTTCACTGATGGGTACTGAAAGGCAGCACTCATATATGGCACTGATAGGCGGCACTGACTGGCACTGATAGGCGGCATTGACTGGCACTGTTAGGCGGCACTGATAGGCAGCACTGACGGGCACTGATAGGCGACACTGATTGCACACTGATAGGCAGCACTGACTGGCACCGATAGGGGGCACTGACTGGCACTGATATGTGGCACTGATTGGCAGCACTGATAGGTGGCACTGACTGGCATTGATAGGTGGCACTGACTGGCACTGATGGGTGCACTGAAAGGCAGCTCAGATGGGCACTGATATGTGGAATTGATGTGGCACTGCTGGGCACTGAAATGTGGCACTGATGGGCACTGGCAGGTGGCATGGATGAGCACTGGCAGCTGGCACTGATGGACACTGGCAGGTGGCACTGCTGGGGCTACATAGATCATCAGGGCACAGTGATCACCGGTGCTCTGATGATCAGTGTACATGTCCCCTCCGAGGAATGCCGATTACCGGCTCTCCTCACGAGCTGTCAGCGTGACAGCTCGTGAGGAGAGAAAATGCCGATAACCGGCATTTCCCTATTTACATGTGATCAGCTGTGATTGGACACAGCTGATCACATGACCGAGCCGACATCTTCGGCTCTTTCTGTTGATCGGTGATCCTCTGTGTCCGCGCATGCACGGTTAGAATGGGAGGATGTCATATGACGTCCTCCCAGAACGAGAGAACTGCCTTGCGCCCGTCTTTGTACTATATGGCGGGCGGGAGGTGGTTAATAAGTGTATTTGATTTTTTTTATGAGAATTATATATTTGTCTTGTGCATACCCACATGGAAGAAAAATACATTTGAAATATAATTTAAAAATATTCTTCCCAAATATATTTAAAAATATATATATTTTAAAAATATATATATATTTTAAAAAATATATTTTTTTTAATATATTTCTTCAGATTATTTTAACATATAAAAAAGTAATTTTAACATATATTTTTACATATATTTGTAAATGCATTCCAAAAATGTAGATTTGTATTTTTAAAGACATACAGTATATTTGAAATTTGTATTTTTAAAAGTATTTTTCATATATTTCGTAATAAAAACACATTTCAATATGCAGTATATATATATATATATATATATATATATATATATATATATATATATATATATATATATTTATTTATTGAAATATATTTTGAAATATATTGAATATGGCCAGAATTGTGGTATTTCAAATATATGGCAATATATTTGGGAAGAATATTTTTTAAATATATTCCAAATATATTTTTCTTCCATATGGGTAAGATTATTGCAATCACTGTCTGAATATTTGAAATTTTACATGGAAAATTTGAAGAAGTCATTTTTTTAGTACAATTGCTGTCTTCCCTCTCCTGATTTGTGTTGTAGGATTTTTCTTGTTTGCCCCAAAAACAAAAGCGCACTTTTTTAAGGATCCCTCCCAATCACTCCCTATGCAGTTTGTCATCTTAAAGTATATATAAACCCCCTCACCTTGTAAAACAACTCATACAGTTTAAAATAGAAATGAAAGTTACATTTGTAACTCTAAATACCTTTTCCCCCTTTTTATAAGTGATCACATACCCTCTGTTCTCAGCTGCATTGAGAGGTGGGGGGAAGCAGCACACTAATCTTCCCAGTGAATGGCTATGCGGGGGGGGGGGGGGGGGGGGCGTGTCTGCACAAGTCTGATCAATGGAAGAGAACAGGCTGAGTTCCCAACACAGCTAAAGAACTAATCTCACTGTGCCCATCTGCCTGGTGTGGACAGTTTTTAATAGGAAAGCAGAGGGACTGGCAGGAACAACAGATACAGTGAGGAACAGAAGTATTTGAACACTCTGTGATTTTGCAAGTTCCCCCACTTAGAAATCATGGAGGGGTCTGAAATTCACATTGTAGGTGCATTCCCACTCTGAGAGACAGAATAAAAAAAAAAAATTCAGGAAATCACATTGTATGATTTTTAACCACCTTCCGCCCGCCATATAGTCCAATGACAGGTGCAAGGTGATTCTCTCGTTCTGATAGGACGTCATATGACGTCCTTCCATTCTCACCGCGCATGCGCGGCTCAGGGAGCACGCAGCGCGGCGATTGCCAGTTCGCTGTGTCCCTCGGACACAGCGGATCACTGATCAACAGAAAGAGCCAAAGATGTGATCATGTGATCATCTGTGTCCAATCACAGCTGATCACATGTAAACAGGGAAATGCCAGTTATCGTGACAGCTCGAGAGGTCAGGAGAGCCGGTAATCAGCTTTCTGCGGAGGGGACATGTACACTGATCATCAGGGCACTGATGATCTGAGTGCCCTGATGATCAGTGTGGCCCCAGAAGTGCCACCTGTCAGTCTCCATCAGTGCCAACAGTCAGTGCTCATCTGTGCCACGTGCCAGTGCCCATCAGTGCCACATCAATGCCACATATCAGTGCCCATCTGAGCTGCCTTTCAATGTCACCCATCAGTGCCAGTCAGTGCCACCTATCAATGCCAATCAGTGCCACCTATCAGTGCTGCCAATCAGTGCCACCTATCAGTGCCAGCCAGTGTCGCCTATCAGTGCGCATCAGTGTGTCTATCAGTGCCAGTCAATGCCGCCTAACAGTGCCAGTCAGTGCTGCCTAACAGTGTCAGTCAGTGCCGCCTATCAGTGCCAGTCAATGATGCCTATCAGTGCCGCCTATTAGTGCCATATATCAGTGTCATGTATCAGTGCTGCCTTTCAGTGCCTATCAGTGCAACCTACCAGTGCCTCCTCATCAGTGCCCACCAGTGACACCTATCAGTGTCCAACAGTGCAGCCTATCAGTGCCCATCACTGCAGCCTCATAACGCACATCAGTGAAGGAGAAAAATCACTTATTTACAAAATTGTATAACAAAAACTAGAAAAAAACTTTTTTTTCTCAAACTTTTCAGTGGTTTTTGGTTTGTTTAAGAAAAAATAAAAATCCCAGAGGTGATTAAATACCACCAAAAGAAAGCTCTATCTGTCTCAAAAAAATGATAAAAATGTCATATGGGTACAGTGTTGCATGACCGCGCAATTGTAATTCAAAGTGTGAGAGCGCTGAAAGCTGGAAATTGGCCTGGGCAGGAAGGGGGTATAAGTGCCCTGTAGACTAGTGGTTAAAGAATTTATTTGTCTTGCACTGCTGAACATAAGTATTTGAACACCTAAGAAACAGCAAGAATTCTGGCTCTCAAAGACCTGTTACTGTGCCTTTAAAAAGTCCACCTCTACTCCACTCATTAATCTAACTTAGTAGCACCTGTCTGAGCTATTTAAAGACATCTGTCCACCCCACAGTCAGTCAGACGCCAACTACTACCATGGGCAAGACCAAAGAGCTGTCAAAAGACAAGACCTCAGAAAATCAGTGTTAATATTTGGTACAGAAGTCTTTGTTTGCAATTACAGAGGTCAAACGTGTCCTGTAGTTCTTGACCAGGCTTGCACACACTGCAACAGGGATTTTGGCCCACTCCTCCACACAGATCTCCTCTGCATCTGTCAGGTTTCGGGGCTGTCACTGAGCAACACGGAGTTTCAGCTCCCTCCAAAGATGTTCTGTTGGATTTAGGTCTGGAGACTGGCTAGGCCACTCCAGAACCTTGATATGCTTCTTAGGAAGCCACTCCTTGTTTATCCTGGCTGTGTGCTTCGGGTCGTTGTCATGTTGGAAGACCCAGCCAGGACCCATCTTTAATGCTCTGACTGAGGGAAGGAGGTTGTTTCTGAAAATCTCACAATCAATGGCCCCATTCATCCTCTCCTTAATACAGTGCAGTCGTCCTGTCCCTTTCGCAGAAAAGCACCCCCAAAGCATGATGTTACCTCCCCCATGCTTCACAGTAGGGATAGTGTTCTTTGGATGCAACTCATCCTTCTTTTTCCTCCAAACATGACGAGTGAAGTTTAGACCAAAAAGTTCTACTTTGGTCTCATCTGACCACATGACTTTCTCCCATGCCTCCTCTGGATCATCCAGATGGTCATTGGCAAACTTCAGACAGGCCTGGACATGTGATGACTTGAGCAGGGGAACCTTCCATGCAATGCATGATTTGAAACCATGACAGCGTAGTGTTCTACCGACAGTGACCTTTGAAACTGTGGTCCCAGCTCTCTTCATGTCATTGACCAGCTCCTCCCTTGTAGTTCTGGGCTGATTCCTCACCTTTCTTATCATCAGTGATACTCCACGAGGTGAGATCTTGCATGGAGCACCAGTCCGAGGGAGACTGATGGTCGTTTTTTAGCCTCTTCCATTTTCTAACAATTGCTCCAACAGTTGATCTATTTTCACCAAGCTGCTTGGCAATTGCCCCGTAGCCCTTTCCAGCCTTGTGGAGGTCCGCAATTGTGTGTCTGGTGTCTTTTGACAGCTCTTTGGTCTTGCCCATGGTAGTAGTTGGCCTCTGACTGACTGTGGGGTGGACAGATGTCTTTAAAGAGCTCAGACAGGTGCTACTAAGTTAGATTAATGAGTGGAGTAGAGGTGGACTTTTCAAAAGCACAGTAACAGGTCTTTGAGAGCCAGAATTCTTGCTGTTTCTTAGGCGTTCCAACACTTATGTTCAGCAGTGCAAGACAAATAAATGCTTTACAAATCATACAATGTGATTTCCTGAATTTTTGTTTTTAAATTCTGTCTCTTAGAGTGGGAATGCACCTACAATGTGAATTTCAGACCCCTCCATGATTTCTAAGTGGGAGAACTTGCAACATCGCAGGGTGTTCAAATACTTCTGTTCCTCACTGTATTTTGCTGACCAAAATCCAAAGGCTGTGCAGGATATTAGTGTATATCAGGGGCGGACTGACCATTCGAGCACTTGGACACTGCCCGAGGGCCCGGGGTCAGTAGGGGGCCCCATGAAATGCCCCTGGTACCTTTTTATACGCTTTTTTTGAGTGTGGGCAAGGACACAGGGGCCCCATGATCCCTTATTGCCCAGGGGCCCCATGAGTTGTTATTATCCTAGGTAACAGCACATAAATTCAATGAGACTGCAAGTCTTGAACCCACAAGATTCAACTCAAACCCATGGTAGTGTCAAACCTAAACCTTATACCTAGTGGAGATGTTCTGCCAAGCAAAACCTTATACCTAGTGGAGATGTTCTGCCAAGCATGCAGTATTTACGGTCTGAAATTCTGATTCCAATGGAGCTCTTACCTCTCAGCATGTTATGGTGTGCAGAATTATTAAAATAAAATACAAATTTGTAATGTAATCGATTAAATGTTGTCACATTAAATTAGAGAGCCAGTGTTAATATGCAGTCTGTAATTAGGAGCATTACATTTTGATATTTTCATATGTGATTGTAGAGGGTTGCAGCAACCTACCACCATTAAATATAGAGCTAATATATACAGTAGGTCCTACACTGGCTTGTACAATGTCCTTTTGGAGATCAGGGAGTATTTTAAAAGGTGGATTGTGGCATGCAGACCAATGGTTATTATTAGATCTCTTCTGGATGCATTTTTAGATCTCAAAATCAGCAGCATAATTGACTCTTCTCTAGATTTTGCATAATGTGTAATTTGTCTTTGTTTATTTCTATGAGGGGACTCTATCTTGCCAAAACCAGCCTTTGGGGAAGGCATGTTAAAAGAATTTGAGAGTTGTTTTACTAGTATAGTATAAAAACAATTCTGGGCAACAACTGAAAGCAATCACTGAGCTACCAATGCTATCAAGCTAACACATCTGTTCTACTAAAATCTGAAAGTTCACTTAGTTTACTTTAAATTCAGTTTCCTGCAATGCCTTGCAGATAGTTCCCATGTAGGTAATTCGGGGTGGACTAGAAGTGTACTTTCTAAAATGTATCGTAATTCACTTGCATTCTATCTGCTACCTGTGCTACCAATTATTTTCAGACTTCCAAAGCAGCTTGGATTGTGATTGGTGGCTAGGGAAAAGTTTTAATTCTGACATTTACTTTTCTACATCCCTCCATGGGCACACTTTATGTGACTAGCAAGTTTCCTCATAATGCCTTAGATGCATTTCCCTTCCGCCTTTTACAGCCACTATGCATAGAAACTGATCAGCTTCAGTTTCTTTTTTTTTTGTAAAAGCTTAATTGAAGAAGCTGAAGTTAGAAGCTGATGGCTACCATGCACAGCTGCACTAGATTTGACAATCTACAGTTTTACTAAATCAACCCCTTTGTTTTCAGACAACTATAGTTATACTGTAAACATGGATTCATAATTTGTTTTTTAAATGAACATAGGACTGCACAATGAAAATGTAAGAGTTCTGCATTTGTTTTATTAAAATAGGGTTACATGCTGAAATATAGGCTACCTTTATGTTTTCAAAAGGGTAATTTAAAAATTTGGAACTCTCTGATCTACATATTTGAAGGCTCAGCCATATAGTTTTATCAGCAACTAGATTTGCAAAGAATGGGTGGCCTGGTAAATACAATCAATGCTACATTGATCAACAGAGCCACTTTTCAGGTGAACCCTGTTTCTATATAACTGACATCTTTTCACGTTTGGAATGTATTTTTTGCATCTGGCCTGTACACATTCTCCCTTTATAGGAAAACAAACAAATATTAGGAATGACATTTTGTTGTATTTCAGTTTCCTTCAAACAGTTAGCGTATCACTAGCAGAAATTGCTGACTGCAAAGAGACTACACTGAACAGGTTAATCCCATTATTCCCAATTATTTCTAGGCGTCCCAAGGGAGCAGCTATCCAGTATTAGAATGTATAATCCTGTATCACAGCTGGAAATCTTCACTCAGCTCCATTAGAGAAATTTTTCAACTAATACAGTTGCTGAATTATTCATTTTTCTATAACTGCCTGAGGCCATTTTTCTGCATGTAAACAGCATATGAAATGTTTTTTTAAATGACATCAGTTGCAATCAGCCAATTGTGAATCCTTTGGAAGTATTCTACTAACCTATGGTGTGAACTGTCTAAAGAGTCTGCTTTTCAACAGATGTAACCAGGGAGGCCTCGCCTACAGACATTTGTGCTACCAGTCAGGGGTAAATGTTATTATATTTGTACATCTCCTGACTTAAGGCTATCCTATTCTGTATTTAAAGAAAGGGCAAAACGTTTGCCATATTTGAGGTGATTATGGCATATGATTGGGATGTGAACTCCACAGGAGAAAGACATAGAACACAGGACATGATGTGCTGGTAGCTTAGTTGAGATTTAAATATTCATACTCCTTTGAAGTTTCAAAATATGAGAACTTGCTGAAAGTCAGAGCTACCTTGTGCTAAAATGAGACAAAATAGCAATTAAATCCAACTAATGAGTTGTACTGAAAGAATATTTTGTAATGGACCTATGCAAATTACCATCAGAAAATCTCATTAAATTAGAAAAAAGAGAAATCTTTCACCTGTAATCAGTGTGGTAAGCTTGATGCTTCTTTTTTCTGCTGGGGTGGTGGGGCTGTCACCTAATTGTATTCATGTTAAAGCTCTTTCTGTCTGTGTTAATGATGCATTACAAGTTACAAGTTTTCAGCCTTACAAGTGTCTCTGTAAATTATAACCAATCTTTTAGAAGATCTTATTTA